TTTCACTGCCATTATTTTTTTATTTTGGTTTCAATCTGTTTTTTTTTCAGAGAACGAGGAAAAACACTTTTGCTGCGTTTTGACTTTGCGTTTGTTGGACTTTGACTTTATGGCCAGAGGCAAAGCCAAAGGCAGAGGCAGAGGCGGAGGCAGAGACTGTTAGCCGTACTGGTCCAAATGACATTTACATGCCGTTTCCCGGGGGAGTGCAGGGACGGGTCCGGCAGAGAGGCCTTGACTTGGCTAGGCCCACTGGGACTGCACACACATAGCTAACTACAATTAATTGCAATGCATTTTGTTGGCCCAGTTCTATTTGTTCATGCAATTTGCTTTCATCAGCCGTCGAGGCGTGTCTAAAAAAGAAAATATATATGTATATATAGAGGGAAAATAAATAAATGGAACTCGGCCTCTTTGGTCTCCCTCTTTGTGCGCAACTTAGGCGCGCATCATTTAACTTTGAGCAACGAGCAGAGTGGATTACACACATGACAGAGCAGGCATCCTTACAGAGGAGAGCAGCACGGAGAGCGAAAGAGATGGCGATAGCGAGAGCGTAATCGAGACCCGTCAAAATGGCAAACACATCGACAATGCACCCAAGACACTATCGGAGCAAGGACCCAAGCAAGGACGACGTCGGCATTCTCCTAAGGCTGTTACGTTGCCTCTCCCTCTCCCTCTCCCTCTTCCTCTCCCTCTCTCTCTAAGCACATTACGTATTGCATTCGCAAACTCATTCGCATTTTGATTGTAATCGGAGCTAAACACACACACACACATACGCACACATGCGCATTAGATAAGGATCAGCTGCTCCCTAGGTAAATGCTCAAGGTAACCGAGCAACAAATCTTTAGAATCGAGCATGTGTGTGTGTGCGTGTGTGTGTTACCTTGTTGTTTACCTTGCCTAATGCGAGCTGACAGATTATTATTAGCGTAACATTAACGTCAAATTACGCAGCTATTTTGCGCACTTTATCTACAGAGCACCGACATCGCATCTCCCAGCATCTCCATCTGCATCTCGAACTCCCTGATAGAGAGATATGGAATCATTTCCATTGTTTGCTGCTTTGGATAGATTTCGGGCTGGACTGTGTACTGTTTTCTCTGTTTTTCCGCTTTTCCGCTTTTCATGTGTGGCACGTTGCGTGTCCAGTTGTTGCAGGTGCAGATCCTCATATGTATTATACGATATGTGGAATGTTCATGATACCATAATAAAGAACTCTGGAGATAAAGCCGATAAGGAGACCCAAATTTACTAAACTGTTTAGCTTGATCTCAAATATTTGTATACTTTCTAGGCTATCAAGCTGGGGTATATCTTTTGATAACAGTTTCAGTCTAATAAGGTCTAATAGTTCTTAAGGCATAGATCTAGGGCATATCTCTTTATAATAGCTTTTGTTTAATAAGGATATATGTTAGCCCATGGAGTTCATGGAGTCCATATCCATAATACGTGTATATATTTAAGGGTTCACATCTAGGGTATATCTGTTTACAACAGTTTTAGTCATACCCATATCCATATCGTATTGATTGATATTTCTCTTTTTTTTCTTTAGCTTTACTTATTTTTTATACCCTAAACTCATTAAATAAGGGAACTCAGGGTATGTCTTATTTATTTATTTTTCTTTTTACATAGAGTTTTTTTTTACAATAATTAGATCTACGGCTTTTTTTTATTTATAATAAAAAATAATAATAATATAAATGTTCTCTATAGAGCCTCGGCAAAACAGCCTGCAGTCCCTTCAATTACCAACAAACAATCCATAATTAAAATTTAATTAAATCAACTTAAACATAATTCATCCCCTTAATCATCGAATAGCTCAGCCGAATATCTCTGGAAAATCCCATCAAATGCAGCTGGACTCTAGCCAAATAACTTTCGATTAATTCCGGGAAGCACATTAAATAATTGCAACTACTTGCGTACGTACACTCAGGCTGCCACACCCCCCTCATTACACCGGGGAAAAGCACTTAGAAGGGCGTCAGGGCGTTTGGGTGTACAAACATTTCCCACCTGGCGCAACTCCCACACGAAAACCGAAATGTCAACATAGCGCTGAGAAAAACTACTGCAGCAGAGCGAGAGCTAAGCTAAGGAACGATGGGAGTGGGTGTGGGAGTGGGAGTGGCGCAAGGAGCAGCCTCGGTTGTTATTTGCTTTGGCTGCGTGTTCCGGGTGCGAACACAATGCGTGACAATAATTAAAAGATTTCTAGTGTCAACAGTGTAAATGGAATCAAAACATAGTCGCAGACCAAAACTAAATGGCACAAGGCGGTTGCCAAAGCGCGGAATGGAATGGGAATGGGATTGGGAATGGGAATGGGAAGTGGGCTGGGCATGAAATGCGCACAATGTTTGTTTATTGAGACGGCTTTGATTTGTGCCACGAGAGCTGAGCTGAGCCGAGCTGAACGGGGCTCAACTGAATTTGATGCCATCATGTGCCGCATACCACCCACCGCACCTCCCATCCATCCATCCCCCCAACCATCGAACAAACCCTTCCAACCACGACAAGTGCGCGCGTGTTTGTAGAGCCGTTGTATGCATAAGCAACGCCGATTATTGACACATCACCGGCTACGCGACGCATCGGGGAGGGTAAGATGATGATGGGGAAGAGAGAGAGAGAGAGAGGGAGAGAGCGAGATACATGTCGAAGGTGAACTCGCCAGCTGAAGAGCAAACATTTTGCGCGAAGAAGACAAATGCAAATCGAACTGCACTGCGCTTTAGCGTACGTGTGTGTTTGTGTGTGTGTGCATGCTTGTGTGTTTTCCCAATTCCAATTTCGATTCCATAGACCAAACCAACCCGCCCAACCCCTTGCCATGCGGTCGTGCGTGAAATTTAATCAAAGCAAAGCGAACGCCTGCCACTGCCTCAGCCTCTGCCCCTGCCTCTGCCTCTGCCTCTGCCCCTGCCTCTGACTCCTTCTATAACCCGCTCGCAGCCCATCAGTGTGGCCAACAGATTTTGGTATCCCAAACTGAAGCAACCGGAAATGTTGCACATTTGTAACTGTAACTTGCTTCGGGTGTTGTCTCTACACAAAATGGGCAACAAGATAAAAGGAAAGAAAACGGTTTGTCTTTTTTATTTCGCTCTCATTTTTGGGCAACACGCGTAACGAATTTCGCACACCCTTTAAAGACGTTTACTAGCAGATTGCCACGCTCAATGATTTAATAGACTGAAAATCAATGAACAATTAAATATATTTTTATACCACACTAAATGTGTGAATAAACGTGAGAATATTTGAGTTCAAAAATAACCAAGCAGACATACATACATACATATGCATACATACATATGTATATGTAAATGTGGCGAACTAGCTAACATAGTCTCTATGCAGATAGTTTGGCTAGTGTATGGACACAGTGGGCCCGGCCAGCCAGTGTACGTCAAAGTTTTACACACAAGTGCAAATTTTTGTCAATTGCTGTAAATGGAGTTTCCGTTTTCCTGCTCTCGACAAAGCGCTGTCTGTCTGTAGCAATTTGCTCAACAATTGGTTGGAGCGGTGGTAAGAAGCGATTTGTTGAATTTAGTTTGCAGCTTACCAAAGCCCAAGATTCAATTTGCGCGCACTTTCAACGCTTAAAGCCGTGCGCAGCCCTGGACTAATACATACACTTGCTTAGTAATTGCGTGCGCCCTGGTCGAAAGTGGAGCACACACACACACACACACACACAATTGCATGCATTCAGATGTAGTATGTATGTATTATGGTGAAGTAGAAACGAAAACAAAACGCAAGCAGCACAGCAATAAGAACATCAGGCGAGCTAAAGCGAACGAACGAACATACGGTTATTTTTAAACCAGACGCGGCGCTCTCACTCTCTTTTTGTCCAGCAGAAGCTTCTGCTTTGATATTGCGGCGGCTCTCTTACTCTCACTGCTGCTGTTCGCTTTGTTCGTGCTTAGTGTTGAGAGCGCAGTTTGTTTTCATGAACAGCTTTGTCACGTGGAGTAGCTGCTATCGATGTTGCTCGCTGCTGTCGCTATCGCTGTTTCGCTTTTAATATTCACTTTTATTTGCGGTCGGCATACGCGCTCAGTCTCTTGCGCACAGTGGAACCAGTGAATTTCATTTGTATATTTTAAATGTTGCTAATGTAATTGAATATTTCAATTGTCAATAATTGATTGGGTCCATCTATGCAATTTTCTTTTGTATTATATTATCGTACATATATTATCGTACATATTTAGTGAATATATATATGAATATATATAATTCGGATTTCCAATGTGTTAAGCTTGAAAGTTTATAAATATACACTCCCAGGTGTAATAACAAAGTAAGCAGTTTCTTTATAATGTACCATGCGTAATAGCATATGATTATCTAAATTACACCTTAAGCTTATGTACATATATTAATTACTATGTGCGTCAGTGTGCCTATGCACATGTTTCGAGCACGAGAGAGCCAATTCTTGACTCTCTTATATTCTCTCTCTCACCACCGGTACTCAATTGTTGTCGTTGTTATTTCTATGTGGAACTGTGCTTTAAGAGCGTATGTAGATCCCAGTGGCGTTGTTGTTTGCTGCCGTTTCATCAGCTTGCCCCTTGCCAAGCGCGAGCACTTTGCGGTTAATCACGATGACGGGGGCGTTTGCGACGCCAGTTGCGGTTGTTGTGGCCTGTCAATCGCTGACTTTGCTTTGTGTTCTGCTTTTGTTGATAATCGGGAGCGGCGACGGCGACGGCGACGACAACGCCAACGCCAGCGTCGCTGCGTAGTGTTCGCAATTTAAGTTTTTGGGGCCCGTTGGGCCAGCACTGTTGTCGACGTCACGTCAGTTCATTGCGTCGGCTTGTACAGCTTGCTAGCGCGTTTTTTTTTCGTGTTCTCGCCAATTCTCAACACTCTGTGTGCTTGTGTATATAAATATATATACATATATATATATACATACATACATGTGCATATGTATTATTTTATATGCGTATATGTGACCATATGACTGTGTATGTATGTGCTCTGGCGTTTTGAGTATGCTTTGTGATATTCTTCTCAGTTACTGCTGTCAGTGGTTCTTCTTCTGCTTCTTGCCAGCGTTTTGTTGTTGACGTCGCCGCATTGTTTTTATTGCCGTTTCTGTCGTTGCCGTCGTGGCCGCCGCGCAGACCAAAAACTTGATTGTGATATAATTTGTTAAGTATTTATTTATTTGTATTTGGCACAAGCGTGCCACGACGGACCCGTTGGTTGCCCCAGTGTAATTGCAGTTGCATTCAAGCCACAAGTTCTCGAGGCGGCCGCAAAGCGCCCCCTGGCTAGAGCAACAACTCGCCTCGCCTCGCCTCGCCTACGTCTTCTTCTCTGTCTGCGGCACACTCTCACTTCTCACTTGCCACTGTCACTGTCACTGGCCGCACGCTGTCTCGCTCACTCACCATGGTATACTCGACGAACATACTGCTGGGCATTGTGACCATATTAACCGCCGTGTTCATCTGGTCGCGTCGCACCTACGTCTATTGGCAGCGGCGTCGCGTCAAGTTTGTGCAGCCAACGCATCTGCTGGGCAACCTGAAGAAGGTGCTCAAGCTGGAGGAGTCGTTCCCCCTGCAGCTGCGCCGATTCTATTTCGACGAGCGCTTCCGCAACGAGCCCGTCGTGGGCATCTACCTGTTCCATCAGCCGGCACTGCTCATACGGGACCTGCAGCTGGTGCGCACCGTTCTAGTCGAGGACTTTGTCAGCTTCTCCAATCGGTTCGCCAAGTGTGACATGCGCCACGACAAGATGGGCTCCCTCAATCTGTTCTTTGCCCGGCAGTCCGAGTGGCGTGAAATACGCACCAGACTCTCGCCGGTCTTTACGGGCGCCAAGATCAGGCAAATGTTCTCGCTTATGGAGGAGGTAAGTCAATCAACTGCGACCCAATCAAAATACACTGTGCAACAAAAGTTCGATTTTTCTTCTTCAATGAATCAATTGAAGAGTCGACAACAAACATATGTAGGCCGTCAGCATGTCAAATATCTGATTAAAATATCTCTGAATACATTTCTATTATTATTTTATTTTTAGTTTTTGTTTGTATGCATGTTAAAAATATCTGATGATATATAAAAAAAATATATTATCTTTTTTTTTTTTATTTAATTAAATTTTTTACTGCTTTTACATGTTATCAAGTGAAACAACTCGAAAAATGTTGTTGTCAATTTAAAAACTTAAATTGCCTGATAAAATATTGCTATTTTTTTCGCATTCAAAAATATCTCATAAGGAATTTCTAGTTTAAATTACTTTAATTCACTAATTTTATTTCAAAGCATAATTTTTTTAAAATTTTCATTTAAAGTTAAATCTCTAATTTAAATTACTTTAATTTATTAATCTTTTAAGTATAATTTTTTCATTTGTTTACTCTCTATTTATTTATTTTTGTTGTTTTTTTTCTTCTTATTTGTTTCGTTTTTCTTTTAATTATTAACTTTTCTAATTCATTCTATTCGTTATTTGAACATATTTTCATTTATTTATTTGTATATATCAAAAAGTATTTTTTATTTTTTATATATATTTTTTAATTTTTTTTTTAAATATAAATGTTCCAGATTTTTTTTTTTTTTTTTTTAAATAATATATCTCTTAAAATTTGTTGATAGATAAAATGCTATATGCCGTTTTGTTTTATTTATTTTTTATTTAATTTAATTTTTTTTGTTTTATTTTACCCTATTTATTTATTTATTTATTTATTTATTTATTTTTTTTTTTTCATTTAAAGAAATATTCTAGATTTTTATTTAAAATAATATATCTCTAAAACTTTGTTGATAGATAAAATGCTCAATGCCGTTTTTTAATTCTTTATTTTTATTTTTTTAATTTAATTTTTTATATATATATTTTTTCAATTTTATTTATTTTATATATATATTATTTTTTAATTTTATTTTTTTTTTAATTTTATTTATTATTCATCTAAGAAAACAAAAATTTTTAAATAATATATATTTAAAATTTTGTTGTTAAAAAATGTTCTATATGCCACTTTTGTTTTATTTTATTTTTTATTTTTTTTTATGGTATGTTTTTCGTAATGTCATGTTTAGGTATTTTTTCTGGTAATTTCGTTGTATTGCTTGCTAGTGTAAGCTAATGTAAGCTTCACGTGCGGAAATTTAAAACTTTAAAATGTTTAATTAGTAAAATACTATGTCATTGACTTGTTTTTTTTTTTTTTTTTTTTTTTTTTTTTTTTTTTAATTTTTTTTTGTAACAATATGTAATGCAATCTATGTGTGTTTTTTTTTTATTTAAACTTTATTTTTCTGGTAATTTCGTCTCGTATTGCTTGCTAGTGCAAGCTTCGCGTGCGAGCAGCTGTTACCAAAGTTCATCGCAAGTGTCTGAAAATATAGACATATGAATGAGAATTGAACAACTGGTTTCGCATGCTCACTAATGTTTTCGACTTTACACTCTCAGTTAAGTTCTATGGAATTTTGACTTTTTCATAGGTTAAACAAGTCAATGAAAACAAAGTGTTTATTAGCTAAATGATTGCATGCACTTGACTAGATTTGCTTTTTTATTATTATCTGCTTATCATTATTGAAGGTGGGTAATGTTGAGAGATATAATATATATAGAGTATTATTTATATATATTGTGCATGCCCTGTTTATAGATATTCCTTTCTTGTATATATAAGCTCTCGCTCTGCACTCCAAACTAATCGCACTTTAACGATCCGCACTCTAATCTCTTATCTAGATCGGCTGCGATCTGGAGTGGTATTTGAAGCGTTTGACGCGTGATTTGCGACGCGGCGATGCGTCCCGCGGCGTCATCGTTAGCATCAAGGATGTCTGCGATCTGTACAACACGGACATGATAGCGAGCATCGCATTTGGACTGCGATCGTATAGCCTGAGGAATACGCAGTCTGAAATCGGTTCACATTGTCAGGACATATTCAAGCCGAACGTGCGTCGAATAATAGACTTCTTTGTGATATTCTTTCTGCCGAAGCTGGTGCCGCTGATGCGGTCGAAGCTGTTCACGGAGACGCACTCGGAGTTTCTGCGCCGCGTCATCCAGTTGGTGATCGAGGAGCGCGAACGAGGCGGCGATCTGCGCAATGATCTCATCGAAATGCTGCTGACCCTCAAGAAGGAGGCCGATCTGCAGCAGGACAAGACGCACTTTACGCACCATCAGGACTTTCTGGCCGCCCAGGCGGCCACCTTCGAGGTGGCCGGCATCGAGACCTGCTCCTCGACCATGTCCTTCGCCCTCTACGAGCTGGCCAAGCAGCCGCTAATGCAGGAGCGGCTGCGGCGCGAAATACGGCACACGTTCGCCCTGGCCGCGGCCCATGGGGGCGGGCCGGGTCTGAGCTATGAGCTGATTGCCGGCATGCGGTACCTGGAGATGGTGGTGGAGGAGACGCTGCGCAAGTATCCCATTGTGCCGGTGCTGGAGCGCGAATGCTCGCCGATCAACAAGAAGCGCTTCTACTCGCTGCGCCCGCACGCCGAGTGCTATGCCCGGCGCGGCATGCCCGTCTTCATCTCCAATCTGGCCATACACCACGATCCGCAGGTGAGATGCAGACATGCGCATAGCAATCAACTGTGTACCCCATATTAATACGATGTCTTTCCTCTGTTCTATTGTCAGTACTGGCCGGAGCCGGAACGCTTCGATCCGGAGCGCTTCAGTGCCGAGAATAAACCGAAGCAAACGCCCATGTCGTATCTGCCCTTCGGGGCCGGGCCGCACAACTGCATTGGCATGCACATTGGCATGCTGCAGATCAAGCTGGGCCTCATCTACTTCCTGCGCCAGCATCGCGTCGAGCTCTGTGACCGCACCGTGGACCGCATCAGCTTCGATGCCAAGTTCGCGCTGCTCGCCAGCGAGCATCGCATCTACCTCAGAGTTGTTGACTGTTTATAGCGCACAAGCGAGCACCATCTCATGACAAGGGCAATAGAGACCAGGGCATCATCCACAGCACGCAGCATCCCAGCACCCGACATTCGACATTCGACATCCACATTCAAACATCCATCAGCATCACATGCAGCTTCCCTCTGCTCATCTAGAGGCCAGTTGCTCCCAGCTCCCCGCTCCCCGCTCCCCGCTCTCAGTTCGGGCCATAAATATTTGGTATGCCTCAAATAAACTTTGCTGCGCTCTATTATCATTATCTTAATATATAAATATATATATGTATGAATAATCTTTTTGCTCTCTCTCTCTCACTCACTCACTCGCTCTGCTCTGATATGCCTGTCTCTATCTTTGTTTGCTGCTACTTTTTATTTTTTATCTATGCGTCATTGGCCGATAGCTTATCAATATGTATATTCTTTTTTTTTTTTTTGTTTATTTTTGTATTAATTTTTTTTTTAGTATTTTTTTTTTTTACTATTATTATTATTTGTATTTAGCTTTGGTTAAACTTTGGCTCTGGCCAGGTGGCCTGATCGTTGCTATCGGCTGCCTCTTGGCTAGTGGCACCAGACACAATCACCACGCCCCCTCCAACAGCGCCCACCACAGCCGTGCGAGGGTTGCTCGATGCCAATACCAAAATGAATACCATTATGTATATACAGCACACACATACAGATGCATACATGCATACATACACACACATACATACACACACACATACACACACATATTTGTATATTTACTTAAAGAAAACTTGATAGAATTCTAGTTGAAAGTTCTTCGGGCTTCTGCTGGAAAATGTTCTGAAGGCTGTTTTACCTTAAAATACACGAAGAACTGTTACTTTGAAGTTGACTAAGCCAATATTTTTTTTTTTCTTTTTTAAGAGTATTTACTTAAAATATAAATAAGCTATTTATATATGTATTTTAATAGTTGTAGAATTTTATGAAATTTTATGGAATTGCTAAAAAAAAAAAAAAAAAATGTATATATATATATATGTACATATATATATATATATATATGTATGTACATATATATATATATATATATGTATGTACATATGTATGTATGTATATTATATTATGAACTATGAAATATGAATTATTGAATTATAAACTTTTGTGGCATTTAGCTTCTTTTTCTGAACGGATTCGTGGAGCTGCCGCTGCCGCTGCCTCTGCCGCTGCCTCTGCCTCTGCCGCTGCCGCTGCTGCTGTGACGTGTTATGAACGGCATTGATATGCAAATACTCACACCCTTTGGTTGGGCACAAAGGGTTTGGCCGCCGTTGTCCTATAGCGGATGGCGGTGAAAAACCAAAAGGTTTTCGTGATTTCCATGGAAAAATGCACTGATTTTTCTTAGCATTTAACACACACACACACGCACACATACACGCGCACACAGGGACCAAGCCTTTTGCGCTAGCCTCAACTCTTTGGCTGGCCCAAAAACCTTTTTGCCTATGACCAGTTTTTATTAGACCGCGAAAAATCAACAGTGGCCAGGGTGGTCAGGCACAGTCCGTCCGTCCGTCCGTCCGTCCGTCCGTCCGTTCGTCTGGCCGCTATTTGAAGTAGGCAAAGGAGCTGCGCATGCCGCTGTCTCTGTGTTTGCGTGTGTGTGTGTGCTAAAAGGGTTTACAACAATGTCATAAAGCAATGCGCATTCCTTTCCAGCTATGCACACACATACACACACATATATATATATTTATTTATGCTTTGTTCAGTTTGTGTTGTGTGTATGTAAATTAAATAAAATTCACTTTTCACGTGAATGAAATGCGGCAAAGGCGAAAGCGAAAGAGTTGCCGCTGCTGCTGCAAGCCTCCTGCTCCTGCTCCTGTACCGCTGCCGCTGCTGCTGCTGCCTTCTGGGAATCATTTGCGCCTGGCTAAGGATGCTGCAGGGCCAGCAGCTAATTTACATAAATCTACGTAAACACACTTAGATGCCAAAATAAAGAAGAAGAACAACATGCACATGCAGTTTGGCTCGAGCGAGCGAGATGGCAATAACAGCAGCAGCAGCTGTTGACGCGCTAGCAGGTTGTTCCTCGGCGTGCGTGTGTGTGTGTGTGTGTGTGTGTGTGTGTGTGTGTGTGTGTGTGT